AAATATACGTTTTTAACCCTAAAAAACTAAACAGAAGAGCGCCTTACTTAAGCCGAAAAATCTGTATCTCTAACGGTTGAATAAAAAATCAAAACGAAAAAAGTGTACCTAAAAAAGTTAACCAAGGAAATACGTGACTCAAAATAGACTTTCAAATTTAGCAAAACCCCTATTGATAGGTACCTATTTAGCTATGTCCTATTCACTTTGATAGGTTCGATTTGTATTTATTGTCAAACATTTTAAAATACATAGATAAATGTCTAAATATTTTAATGTTACCTATATAGTAAATGGTAATAAATATTKACTTTATTTAATTAAATATTAAAATAATATATTTTAATTAAATACCTTTGTTACCTCAATATATACATGTTTTGGTGCAGACTACGAGGTACTTATCTACAGGTAGGTACTCATGTACAACTCTTTAAATATGTTACACATTTAAAATTTAAATAAATTTTGTTAAAATAATTATGTTACATACCTAATACTATAATAGTTGTATTTGTTGATAGACAATAATTAATATAATTATATAATGTATATATAAATTATATAAAAATTAGTGATTGTCTTCTAAAGATTCGAAAACTACTGGTCAGATTTTGAGAAAAGTTATAATATTATTTAATATAGATCACTCGCCGAGACACGGGGAACGTTTGTAAGTTGGTTTTTTCCATATGGGTCATTTATTAAGGTGTCTCACATACTCGCATCACGTGAATTTTGTTTTGGCTAATGAAAATGTAATATATAGGATAGCTCCTCAGACCTCAATAGTAACAAATTATTAATTAATCATTATAATTGGATATTATTTCCAGGCTATAATAATGCTCTACCTACTAAATTTATAAATGTTAGTGTTAGGTTTTATTTCTAAGTTATAATATAGCTCCGTGCTTTTCAAGTAAAAATCTGTTTCATATTTGAATTACTTGTAAACTTAATACTTAATTATACATGGTCTAAAATTTTATATTTAACATAATTGGTAAAACAAACAATTCCACCTTTATGAATAAGATAGTTATTTTTTTACCAGCTTAACTTGAGTTAAAAATATAATATTAAGTTTTGGTTAACTTGTAACTTAATTAAATTGATGGACAATTTTGAATTAATTTTATTTAGATTTTAATTTATCTTAACTTATCTGAGTTCAAAAATATTATTAGGTAACTTGCCCAGTCTTATGAAAATGATACATCAATTTACTACATTTACACATTTTATCCATAATTTATTGTTTAAATCGACTTCAAAGTACAGTATAATTAACAAATGATTATTAATTAAAATTACCCCTAATACATTTTAATTGTACAAACATTTTTCACCTCTTTATTATGACGATTGATTGTTATTAGTTACTGATATAACTACCAAGTGTCCTACCTACTGTCTATCGAGAAATCTGGCACCCACCAATATATTATTAAGTAGGTATTTTACAAATTGAATTTATTTCATTGGTTATAATTATGTTTGGGTACCTATTATAACTGTATTAACACAGACTGTAGTATTAGTTATATCGTACATAGGTAGTAGGTACCTACTACATAAAATAATATTATAGCATGTACAATCTATTTGATATTATCTTAGGAATTTGGGCATTTTGGATACAAATTATTTATTTATGTTTTTCATATCAAGTTACTGATATTATATATTTTATTATTTACCATTTTAAAAGAAATTATTTATTTATTTTTAGTTGCCTACCTATTAGATAAGAGTTAATTGAATAATATAAAATACCCATTTGTGATTATGATAATCATGGTAGGTAAGTAACATTATATAATATGTGTGATGTACAACGTTTTTTTCCATTTTTTTCTGTATTCACTAATTTTTATATAATTTATATATACATTATATAATTATATAAATTATTGTCTATCAACAAATACAACTATTATAGTATTAGGTATGTAAGTATAGCCTGGAAATAATATCCAATTATAATGATCAATAGGGGTTTTGCTAAATTTGAAAGTCTATTTTGAGTCACGTATTTCCTTGGTTAACTTTTTTAGGTACACTTTTTTCGTTTTGATTTTTTATTCAACCGTTAGAGATACAGATTTTTCGGCTTAAGTAAGGCGCTCTTCTGTTTAGTTTTTTAGGGTTAAAAACGTATATTTKAGAGTAGGTATATTTGTGTATTATTAGCATATTATATACATTAGATTATAATATTAATAATTAATAATTTATTTATTATTAATTATTAGGTAATTATTATTAATATTATTATTATAATATC